CCTCTGGTCACTTCCTGTCAGCACCTGTGTGTCCAATCAGACTCAAAGCTGATCGTTTGCTCTTACTCACATTGTTCCCTTTTTTCTAGATCCTTGCTTGTGTTGTTCTTACTCTCTGATGTACGTCGCTTTGGATAAAAGAGTCTGCTAAGTGAATTGTAGTTATAGAAGTTGCTCAGTCACTAATAATCTGTAATCTGTTAACTTTTACACGAGCATGAACATCAAAAGTTTCTGACTCTGGGGTTAATCATTGAGTAAAAATCTTTCTATCAAACCAAGCTCGTAAAATCAGAGTTCTTCCTGCTGTGATCAAGCCGGGAGAACATTAAACATCACGAGCAATCTGGTCGATAGGACGTTAAGAAAGGTCGAGCAGGGAGGCCGAAGGCAGCGTATTCCGTCCCTAAACACACACGGGGGGGAAACTCGCCATTTTCTTAGGCAAGCTGGCAAAACAGGCCTCCACCCCTTTGACAAACTGCAGTAAAAGTCCCTCAGTGAAGCCAGGGCGGCTCACGGTGGCGTCTCATCCAGAGCGGAGCAGCCATGACTCAGGAATGTAAACGAAGGAGGTAGAGAAATGTTTCACAAGAGTCTCTCCGACACACACACAAACACACACACACACATACACACACACACACACACACACACACACACACACACACACACACACACTGGCCCCGAGGATGCTCGCAGACTGTTTGACCTCATCAGCGAGTGACGTTTTGTAACATGCCAGGAGTTCTTGAGTCACTGAGAGTTATAACTTACGTTTTTCTTATTTTTTCCACTTTCTCCGCTCTGTTTCAAACTCCTGCTTCTACTGGACTTCATTTCCCAGCATGCATTTAAACGTTCTGGAAAGATATGCTTTAGTTGTTTTGATTTGGGCCTTTCTCATCCCTTGTTCCCCAATAATACTGACATTACATTAACCAACATTAACCCCTCATTTGCTTGCTTCACTGGTCGTACGAGTATTTAAGTAATCTCAGGAAAAGCAGGCAGCTTGTTTTGAACAGTGACACCTGGAACCACACCTTTAAAGTGATATCACCACATCCTGACGCACCCTGGACTTTGACATCGGAGCTGGAAGATGACAAAAACAATCATGTGGCACCATGTTGCTCTTTGATTGGCTTCCTGCTCCAAAAAGGAGGTTAAAACCAAAGCTCATGAAGTAGAAGTTCATGAAGCATCAGGGTCTGAAATGTGATTTACATCTGCATCCTGAATGGAAAGTCAGGGGCAACTTCACCAGTTGCGAATAACGACTGAATTGTGTCGCTCTCTATGAGAAAATGAGCTCAATTCTGGGGCATTGGTGGCCAAGTGGTTAGTTTGTGTGCACCATGTACAGAGGCTAGCGTCCGGGGTATTGGCTCCCCACTCTCACTCTCTCTCTCGCTCTCTTTCTCTCTCTCTGCAATTTCCGTCCTGTCTCTCCAAAGAAGTCACATAAAACCCCCAAAATAAATTTAAAGAAATTAAAATGAGCCTTATTCTCATCTGATTCGTAATCTGAGTGAATATTTTCCTGACAAGTTTATGGTTTCAGCACTAGTGTCAAGCCTTCTTCAATGAAGCATGTCGTTCATTTTGGCAATAATTGTCCCATTTGGAGTCAGAAGGAATTATACTTAAGTACTGCTGATTGAAGAAGAGAGGGGAGGAGGGAGAGAGAGGAGAGGAGAGGAGGGGAGGGAGGGGAGAGGAGAGGAGAGGAGAGGAGAGGAAGGAGAGGAGAGGAGAGGAGAGGGGAGGGGAGGGGAGGAGAGGAGAGGAGAGGAGGAGAGGAGAGGAGAGGAGATGGGTTACTTTGCTTTTGAAAAAGAAAGGCTGCAACAACGGATGGGGTGGGGGATTAATTGTCAGCAGAGACAAAGAACACTTATTTTCGGTGTGTGACCCTCTGCTACACACACACACACACACACAGAAGTACTCCACCCAAATTCCTTGCATCACCCTTCCAACTACCCCTCCCCTCCCTCGCCCTCGTCAGGTTAGGTGGACTCTGACCAGTATGGCTGCCACATTCCTGCAGATAGAGGAGGTGGGGGGAGGGTGTGTGTGTGTGTGTGTGTGTGTGTGTGTGGGGGGGGGGGGGGGGGAGGGGGGTGTGTGTGTGTGGGGGGGGGAGGATTTTTGTTTTTATTTTGATGTATTTCAAGTTCTTTGTTTGCCCATGTCGTGTTTCCACTTTGGTTTGGTGATGTCGTTCCCGATGAGCGGCAGTGCATGAAGTCTGCAAATTGAGAATTTGAGGGGGAGGAAAGGGGGTGGGGGGGGGGCAGAGAGTGAGGGTAATGTACCAATAGACCACATAAATCAGTGCTGCCGTCTGATCTGAACAAGGTTTCTGACCGGAGAACTTGACAGTTGGCTGATTCATATCTGAGCGTTTGACAGCAGGAATGATTCCACGATTCATGTCAGCCATTGTTATGAAACTATTGATCGTAACTAGGGAATGTTCATTTAGTCAAAT